TCGGCTCAGTCTCACTGGAAAAACACCCAAAGGGCATGGAGTCACTTGATTTCGGGATTTTGCCTAGCTGCTGTAAGACAGCCAACAGGGTTAAGCCACAAGACTGCAGGCCTACAGAATTCTGGGTTCCAGGTCAAGTCTCCATCACAATCACAGTTTTATAGCTCCATGTGTCTGTTTAAGCAGCAATAAAACTCATGGAAGTCAACACAATTGGTGTGCAGCAAGGACTCACAGAGTCTTCCTTTGTCTTTCTCACCTGAACATGTAGTTATTATTGAGAAAATACTGTGGTGGGAATTTGTCAATATGCTTTTACAGTATAATAATTAATCTAGTTACTCATTGTATAAGAGGAGAGGCACAGCTATCTAATAGAACCTAGAGGAAATTTGCAGAATAATGTGTTCAGTGTTTGCATGACTGTTCTCAATCTGTCTTACCTAGGGTCAGAGTATGTTCTTGCTTTTGGATGTTTTTAATAAATACAGGTTGTATTGATTAAAAGTTTTACTGTGATTTTATTAAGGCTTTCAAAAGGTTAATTTGGTGATTGTTTCAAAGATGCAAATGCATTAGAACTAACATTGATTGCTGACTTGGGCAATATAATTAATTCTGAGCCATTACAAAAATAGGTTCACTCTAAACTTTCTGCTTATGAGAAGTCAAAAGATGATGTCAGGAACTGGCACCTGCAATGGAAACCGATCTAAACAGTAGAGCTAAGCAGAAATGCCTTGGGATTTCACTGCGCTCCAGGAGCTCTGGGATTTTAATATTTAATACAATTTTATTAGTGCTGTTGCCAGTTTCTGAGATTTGTGGTCTTCCAAATAAGTGAGCTCATGGTTTTCAAAATGATTAATTTTGTTTAATACAGCTTAAATATTTTCTCTGGGCTACTGCAATTGCTCTTTGTAGTGGTGCCACTGTGAGAACAGACTCTGGCTTTTGATATATTTGTCATTTTGTTCTAGTGAAAAGAAAAGTCAGAACCTTGTGTGCATAGCTCTGGGACCAATTGAACCAGAAATATATTAAAAATGGTTCACTATGTACATTTTGTAGGTCCATACTCTATGCCTGTCAACTTTATTATAAACTATCAAACTCATGAATTTGTCAAATTGTATCATGTGCCAATTTTAGCACACAAATGTAACAATCTGGAAGTGCATTGCAATCAGTAGAGCATACAAATATTTCTCCCAGTTACTGTGGAAGAAAACACTTACAGTACATGTACATTTTGTGCGGATTTAACATTTATATCTCCTCATTTGTGTGTTCTGTTGCTTAGACTGCCATTACAATATTTTAATGAGGAGTGTGCAAACATACAGTGCCTCATAAACCCCTTCCTCTGGTGTTCCATTTTGTGAAATTGCACAATGATGCGTGTGTATTCTTAAGTCGCTATGTTATTTAAACCCTGAATGCTCAGACTGAGACTTTTAAGGCTCAAATTAAGTTACAGTAAATGTCAGCAAAAACTGAAGAGAAAACAAAATGAAATTACATAGGTGTTCAGGTGTATGAACTCAGAATGAATTGGAAGTACTTTTGG